AAATTATTCCCGGCCTGTCCCCAAAGCCAATGAGACCGGCCTCTTCTGTACAGGTGGGTCTGGGGACAGGGCATCACGAGACGGCACAGCGAGCAAACCAGGGGAAATTAAAACAGTTTAAGCAACAAATCACGCCAAGCCGGGATGGGGAGAAGCAGGTCTCACCTGTTGAACTGTATGAACACCAGGTTCCAGATCTCCAGGACGTTGGGGTCATCCTGATTGACGAGGTGGGAAGCGTCTCTGTCCCCGATGCGGTCGTAGTGGATCTCGCTGCAAGGGCCGCAGGGGCCCGTGTCCCCCATTTCCCAGAAGTTATCCTTCATGTTGCCGGGCAGAATCCTGCCCTCAGCCAGCCTGTAACGAGAGGCTCTTCGTCAACAACAGAGAATAAGAGAATCAGACGTACTCTGAAGCTTCTTAAGCTCACACCAGTTTTTGAAACAGATTCTGCACCTCCGCCGCCCCCCAAATGTTATTTGTGATGCTTGGGTTTTGTTTAAAACCTCCCATTACACGTGTTCTGCCACAAAACATCTTTCTCCAAACGATCGCTGCTCATCAAAACATGCACTTTCCTTAATTCAAGGCCTTTACCCCAAATTCAACCATATCTGCTTGCACTCCAGGTCCGGTTGCAGTCCTGCAGCCTCATTTCCACCAAAATAAGTGACGTAGAGTCTCTCAGCAGGGATGCCAAACTCCTTGGTGAGAAGCTCCAGCGCCAGTTTACAAGCAAGTTCCTGCAGAAGGAAAGACGAGGGCAGCAAGTGAGTGCAAAGAGAGTTTCTCTCTTCGACATGCAGAATATTGGAGGTATCAGCAGCTAAACAGCCGAAAACTTTCAGGCTTTTCACAGAAGAAAGAGGCAAGTTAACATATGCAGTGAGCGGGGCAGAAGAAACATCTCACAGGGGTTTCCACACGCAATCAAGTTAACTCCTACCATGTTCCCTGCTCCCCGAAAAAGCTTAATTCTGCTGTTATTCTGTATTCTTAACATCCTCTTTCTGTGGAGACCAGTGGCGAGTGGTGCGCCGCAAGGATCCGTACTGGGACCAGTGTTGTTTAACATTTTTCTTGGTGACAACACCAGCAAATTTGTCGATGACATCAAAGCGTGTGGAGCGGTCGACACGCTGGAGGGCAGGGATGCCAACCAGAGGGACCTTGGCAGGCTGGAGAGGTGGGCCCAGGCCAACTTCATGAAGTTCAACAAGTGTCAGGTCCTGCCCCTGGGTAGAGGCAATCCCAAGCACAGACACAGGGAACAGGTTGGGAGCAGCCCAGAGGAGAACGACTTGGGCGTGTTGGTTGACGAGAGGCTCAATATGAGCCAGCAGAGTACACTTGCAGCCCAAAAAGTGTCCTGGGCTGCATCAGAAGGAGGCTCCAGGATGGAAAATGGGGGCTCCAGGATGGAAAATGGGGGCTCCAGGATGGAAAATGGGGGCTCCAGGATGGAAAA